GGGTTTAGGACTACGGTTCAGGGTCTTAGAGTTAAAGGTAAGAGGCTGCCATGCGAAAGGCTTCGGGAACTTGGTGATCCTCAAACCCACAGTCACAAGCCCCGACTTCCTCCGCGGGAAACCCTAAGCCCTAAACCCTAAACCCTTTAAAGGAACTCTAAACCCTGAACCCTTTAAAGGAACCCTAACCCCCAAACCCTTCAAAGGAACGCTAAACCCTAAACCCAAAGGAACGCTAAACCCTAAACCCTTTAAAGGAACCCTAAACCCCAAACCCTTTAAAGGAACCCTAAACCTTAAACCCTTTAAAGGAACCCTAAAGCTGAAGAGACCAAAAGCGCGTCAGGGTTTAGGGTTTACGGTTTAGGGACTACAGGGCTTTGGGTTCTGGGTTTTGGGTTTAGGGTTTAGGGTTTAGGGTTTAGGGTTTAGGGTTTAGGGTTTAGGGCGCCCTAAACCATAAACCAGGATACCCTACGCCACAACCGACAATGTCCAGGGACACAGTTCACCAGCAGCAGAACGACAGCGTAGGCCATGTCGAACCGGCCAGCACGCACCAGGCCGATGACCATCGGTATGCTCCAGGCGGATGCCTTGTTTAGGGTTTAGGGTTTAGGGTTTAGGGTTTAGGGCCCTAAACTCCTAAACCCTAAACGCTAAACCGTGGCTAAGGGTTTAAGGGTTGAGGATTCAACCCTCATGGTTTCGGGGTTTCTTTTCGGGTTCCTTATAGGGTCCTTATAGGGTTCCTATGAGGGCTTCTAGAAGGGTTCCTTAGATGGTTCCTTTAGGTTTTCGGGTTTAGGGTTTGGATGTAGGGCTTGAGGTTGCGCGTTGAGGGTTTTGTTTGGCACATTGCCGGGGGCAAAAACGGAAGGGTTTGAGTTGTTTGCGGCTTGAAACCCTAAAACCCTAAAGCCCTAAAACCCTAAACCCTACAAGAACTGAACCCTAAACCTTAAACCCTAAAGCCCTAAATGCCCCTAAACCCTAACTGGAGCATGCAAGTACATCATTGCCGGGCTATGAGTTCCAAGTATGCGAACATAGAAACCCGATTAAGACACCATGGGTCTTTCTTGGGGTTCTTTGTATGAGTCCTACTATGTTGGTGTTATAGGGCCAGGGTTTCTTTATCAGGTTCCTACACTATGTGGGATCATCCTGGTTGTCATCTTACAAACTACTTCCTAAGCTCAACGAGCTCCAAGTAAGGGTTCAAGCGCGTTTGGAATGGGCCTCAATGGAATATAAGGACTAAGGAGCCTTTGGCAAGGTTTACGGTTCAGGGTCCTAAACGCTAGCTAAACCCTAGAAACTAAAAAACAAACTTAACTAAACCCCAAACCGTGGCGTAAGTTATGCAAACCTCTGTTCAAGAAGTGGGTCAGGATTGCAGGTTTGCAGCCTGAGGGCCATTAAGGAGGACTTCGGATTGTGTTGTGAGCTCTAGGGGTTCGGGTTTAGGCTTTAGGCTTTAAGGCTTTGGGTTTAGGGTGATGTTGCCACCTGTGTCCGGGACACTTTAATCGGGCATCTAAACCCTAAACCCGAAACCCTCAATCCTAAACCCCTAACCCTCAAACCCACAACTCTAGCAGAGTCGTGCTGGAGAGTTGACAGCTTGGGATTTTTGAATACAACGTCTATGTACCTCGAAAACGGCGCAGGCTCGAGACCTCGACAAGATGCGAACCCCTGGCTTCCGGCGGTTTGGGGCATTTGCATTTGCAGTCTCGGAACATTCACCCCAGACCGTCAACCCTGCCCATAAAACAACTGGAAAGGTATGTGGGAGTTTCAGAATAAGAACCACTGCAACAATGGAACAAAAGGGTCTGTACTCTAAGGACCCTCAAAACAGGAAGCATCCAATATCCTGAAACCTCCAAACATAGACACTTTGCACAAAACTGAGAGAAAAAAAAACGTTGACAAACCTTTATCGATGCTGCTCACACCCTACGTACCCCGAAACCCCAAACCCTGAACCCTGGACCCTAAACCCTAAACTCCCCCCTACGAGAGTCCCGTCCTCGAAATTGACGGAAATCTCCTCAAACTCTTCGGATGACTCGTCGACCTCCTGGTATAATGGGGGGCTTGAATGATGGAAGTAGGGTTCAAGGTCTGGTGTTTAGGGTTTAAGGTTTAGGGTTTAGGGTTTAGGGTTCAGGGGTTAGGATGTAGGGTGCCAGGTTCCGGGTTTGGGATTTAGGATTTAGGGTTGGATTCCTTTCAAGCGTTACTACCAGGGTTGAGTGGGATTCCTTTGAAGGGCTCCTTTAAGGGCCTTCGTACGGTGGCCTTCATGATCAGAACAAGGTTCTGGTCCTTATGGCTTTGGGTGTAGGCCTTTCGGGCTCGGTTTGCGGTTTAGGGTTTAGGG